GGCGAGGTCCCCATCGCCGTCCTCAAGCGCGCCTTCCACGCCGCCTTCGCGCGGGTCGGGCTGGGCGGCGCCGAGGCCGACGCCTTCGTCGACCTCCTCGTGCGCTACCACCGCCGCCTCGCCGCCGCCGAGGGCGCCCGCGCGGAGCAGTTCAACGAGGCCATCTGGCTCGTCGACAAGACGGCCGCCGCGGGCCGCGAGCTCAGGCCCGCGGGGCCCACCCCCAAGGGCGATCGGTGGAACCTCTGGGAGGAGTCCGAGGCCTGCTCGCTGCTCAACCTCACCCTCGCCGTCCGCTCGTCCTTCATCGTGTGGGGGAATGGGGCGCGTAAGGTCGCCCGGCTGTTCGTCAGCCACGCGGCGGCGATCCCGCTCCGCAGCCACCGCCTCGAGCCGCTCATCCGGCCGGACATTAAAACCCCGAATTCGGTCTCCATGTTTTCCAATGGCGGCTCCAGCCCCCTCGAGACCGGCGGCGATGCGCACACGTCGCCCAACACGACGGGGGCCGACAAATCCCTCACCCCGCTCCAACTCGACGCGCTCAACTGGGAGGTCTTCGAGACCGGCATCAATGACACCTACACCTCCACCTTGAACTTTGTGCGAAACACAAAAACCACGGGTTATGGCAATCCGCTGCGGAAAATCCTCATTGAGGAGAAACTCGACTTACCCATCAACGATAACGAATGCCAAACGGTTTCCGCCACTAGCAATAAATCGGACACCACCCGAGCCGGTCTCTCGATCTCCGGATTCGAAAACAAGTCCTCGAAGAACCCACTCCCCTCGGCGCATCGACAGAGCAATCGATTAATGCAATCCTTTGTATTACAAACCGATAGGTCGGATGCGGCTCCGATCTCCTCGGGATATTTTCAGATCCCCAACGAAAGCGAGGCAGTTCTTGGCTACGATGTGGTGCATGACTCATCCCTTTACGCGCTCGGTGATATCTTGGGACTCGACTCGACGCGTTTGTTGTCGATGTTCCCAAATGTTACCAGCATCTCCATCCTCAAGCCCAAAACCAAAAAATCAAGCAAAACCAAGAGCGATGCCGCTTCTAGTTTGCTGGGTGTTCTCGGCAAGCTCTTTCAAGAAAACTTTATTAACCTGCAGAACCTTCAAGAAGTGCGTTTACGTCGTCTTGCAGCTTCATGCAAGATCTCACCGGCGAACGGGATTCAATTATCCTCCATCTCCAGCGATAAATTTAGAGAAGCCGCAGCAGAAGGAGCCGATGGAAATCGGCGTCAGTCTAACCGCTCTAAATCGCTCTTTCGTGTGAACAGCACTAATAGGCGGAAAAGCAGCAACCAAAGTGCCTCAGTTCAGTCGAAATGGAAGTCCACCTCGAAGGATATGAACATCAATTGCCACGACTTTGGCTGCCCTCCCACGATGGAGCTGTTGTTCAATGAAGAATCCCTTAATTTAACCTTAAATGAGATCTTGCATACGGAGCAGACGGCGATCAGCGCGCGAAAGACGGTCACGAAATCCTCACAGACGGAACTGGTAGAATCGAAAGCCGTGGAGGTGGCGGAGGAAAAAATACCTCTGCTGTCTATACCGCCTTTCCGATGTCTTTGCGCCGCATTGAGTTTGACCTGATAGGCTTTAGTTTTTCACCCCTACACGGACTGCACCGGTTCTGTTGTTATCCTTGCTATGACAGGATGCTTATTTTGAGCTGCACAATAGCTATCGATCTATCTATTTATCTATCGATTAATGGATTGGAAGTGGTCATCTAACGTGTCTGGGTGCCGTGGGTGAGATTCCTTGTATCTTTATTATTATTGACGTTACTGATTCTGAAATATTTCTTTTTTTTTTTGCCATTATACAGAAGGGCTATCCAAAATAATTCAGAACGATGAAGCAAAAAAAAAGTTTTTTTTTGCTTTGGGGTTATTCCTATGTATTATATATGTATATTTTTACACATGTGAAAGTTTGCACAGCAACGGTACTCTATAATAAACATGTGCTTTGATGTTATTGCAATTGTGTATTGTTGCGTAGAATTTTTTTAATTTCCTACTATGTGTCATGAAGCTGTCTGACAACTATTGAAAAAAAAAATATCCAAAAAATGTAGATATATGGCTCAGTATGTAGGTATCATCGCATTTATACATCTTTTATTGTGGAGTTCGGTGTAATTTATCTCTTTTTCTCTCTATAATTGATTTTTAAAAGGAATAATATCCCAGTATAGATCCAACCAATAAATCCTAACAGTTGAACGGATTAAGGATTCTTTGTTTTTCACCTTTAAAAGGTTGTGATCTCTTTAATTTTCCGCCTGCCCAGTGGCTGAGTGCCACGGCTCTTTGAAAAGCGAAAGAGTTCAAATTCCAACAACAACACCCTCGGATGTCTACAATCCGGTTTTCCAGGTCCATCATCTACTTTGGCGAAAAGTACGTTGAGCTAGACGATGGCGAGGTCACCTTGAGTGACCTCTGTGAGGCCTTTGAAGTCCCTTACGTACCCGGGACGAATCTCAAACATCGCGACACCGGCAGCATTATTGCCACGCTTCCTTCGGACGTCATTAGCGCGGCCTCGCCTTCCAGCCTCAAGGCCTCCGACCGCGCGCACCCGAACAACGATGCGCGTGAGGCCGCCGAGGTCGGGGAATTTTTCCCCCACACCCTTCAAAACCGCGGCGGCAGCGGTAAACCCCCACCGAACGACGCCGACGACGACGACGACGCCGATTCGAAGGATGGCGACGCGCGTTTGCTCGAGCTGTGCGCCGCGTCGTCGGCCGCCCCGGCGGCCAATCCCCAGCCCGCCGAGGCGAATCCCACGGCCCAGACGGATCAGGCCCTGCTCGAATTGGCTCGTGTGGGGGCGATGGAGTTGCTTTCCCCCGAGCTCCCTCAGCGCTTAGCCCAGCTTCCGCCTTACAAACCCCAAAAAGGATCGGGGCTCTTGGGGCGTATTATTTATCCCCCTTCCGTCTATTCCCCACACCGTAGTCGGCGGGATCCGCTTGATCCCCAGTTCTCCGCGTCGAGGATGAGTCCGAACTTTTATTTGGGCCTCAACGCCCCTTTTGGGGTTGGGGATTGGGCGAATGAATCGGACTGGGAAATTCGAAAGAATGGATTGCAATATTACAGTACGTTGGATACTTATGAGGTGATGGATTGCGAACCGGGTAGGGAAGCGGACCTGCTCGCTTCTCGCCCAGATCTCATTCCTTTCAAGGAGGAGGAGCTTCAGGCGATATTCCACAATTATAAATGAAATAGGAGGTCCAACCCGTTATCGGGATCCGCTTAATTTTGCCACGACTGCTATATTAGTGATGCCGTTATGTTTCCCTTTTCTTTCAACCGCTGAGCATGCTATTGGGGGCATTCACTTCTTTCTTCACGATGTTCATGACTTAGTTGACACCTTTTCCCCTAAACTCTTTTTTTTCCCTTTTTAATGGTTAAGGCTGTTTTCACGATAAGCCTTTGCATTACAGAAAAATATAAAACAAAAATGCACGGGTTAGGATCATGGGAGTCCGCGGTGGAGACGGTGAAGGAGGGCAAAAAGAAAAAAGGCGGCGGCTTCCAGACCTTTGGCCTCGCCAAGCCCTTGTTGGAGGCGATTTTAAAACAAGGCTTTACCGTCCCGACGCCGATCCAACGCAAGGCCATCCCCCCGATGCTGCAGGGAAACGATGTCGTGGCGATGGCGCGTACGGGATCGGGCAAAACCGCCGCCTTTCTCATCCCCATGCTGCACCTGCTGAAAGAACATTCCAAGGTGGTGGGCTTCCGCGGCCTCGTGCTGTCCCCCACGCGCGAGCTCAGCCTACAAATCATGCGCCACGGCTTCGCGCTGAACCAATCCATGAACCTCACGTTTGCCGCCTTGGTCGGCGGGGCCTCGCTGGAGCAGCAGTTCGAGCTCCTGGCTGGCAATCCGGATATCGTCATCGCGACCCCGGGACGGCTCTTGCATATTATGGAGGAGTCCTCGATCCAGCTCACGATGGTGCGCGCGATCGTTCTGGATGAGGCGGATCGTCTTTTTGAGCTCGGATTGCAACCCCAGATTGTGAGTATTCTGCACAAAGTCCCCGATTCCGCCCAGCGCGCCCTCTTCTCGGCCACGATGCCGAGTATCCTGGCGGAGTTCACCAGCGCGGGACTGCATAACCCGGTTGTGATCCGCCTGGATGCGGAGATGAAGCTGAGCGATAAGCTCCAGGAAAGCGCGTTTTTTGTCCGCCAGGACGAGAAAGTCGCCGCGTTAATTGTGCTGCTCAAGCGTCTGATCCGGATCGCCGAGCCCGGCGGGGAGGGTCCGCAGGCTTTGATCTTCGTGGAATCCAAATTTCACGTGGAGTTTATCGGGCTGGTGCTCGCGCACTACGCGATCTCGCACAGCGCCATTCACGGGCAGATGGACCAGGAGGCCCGGCGGCTCGCGGTGCGGGACTTCGCGAAGCGGCAGACCGCCGTGATGGTCGTGACCGACGTCGCGGCCCGCGGGCTCGACCTTCCCCTTTTAGACAACGTCATCAACTTCAGCTTCCCCTCGACGCCGAAGCTTTTTGTGCATCGCGTCGGCCGCGTCGCGCGCGCGGGGCGGGCCGGGGCCGCCTACTCCATCCTCACCTTCGAGGACTTCCCCTACTACATCGACCTCATGCAGTTCTTGGACAAGCCCCTGCGGTGCACCCAACCCGCGGGGGATTCGCTCTTCGACCCGGCGGACGGCACTTACGGCCGCTTTCCCGAGGAGGAGATCCAGCTCGAGCGCGATTTCCTTCGCCGCCTGCACCACAGCGATGTGGAGCTGCACAACCTCGCCAAGGTGGTCGAGAACGCCCACCAAAAGTACACCCGAACGCGGCGAAAACCCACCCACGACGCGATTCAGGCGGCGCGCCGGCCCGAGTACGGCTTCGATCGCACGCCTTTGCATCCGATCTGGCTGTCCAGCCTCGATCGGCGCCGCGTGGCGGCGGATCAGGCCCGCTTCGACCTCAAGCGCTTTAAATCCAGCGAGTCCCTTCTGGAGCTCATCTCGGGGGAGAAGCTGTTTCGCCTCGAAAGGCCAACAACGGTGCAGAGCCTCTATGCCTCACACGACGCCAAGGACAATACGGAAGGGAAAGAGAAAGAAGAGGGGAGTGCTTCGGCGAATCTCAGCTTTGCGGATCGCATGCTTCGCCGTGCGCAGGAGCGAAAAAACCGCGCGAACGCGGCGCAGGACCACCCCGACGCCGCCCACCCCTCCGAAGCTTCCTCGTCGTTTGAGGTGATCGTGCAGGCGCCCCTCAGCGCGGCCCGCGAATCGCTGGAGTCCGGCAAATATCGCGATGCGGAGTTTTTCATCAACCCCACCCGGCGCGAGACCGTCGACGACGTGCACTGCTCCGTCCACAACGCGGTGCTCGACCTCAACGCGGAGACCACCGCCGAGGAGGCCCACCAACGGATGGTCTACGCCTGGAATAAAAAGAAGAATCGCTACGTCCAAATGCACGTCAACGACGCGAAGGCCTTGCTCAAAGGGGTCAAGAATGAGGCGGGCAAGGCGATCAACTACAAAACCAAGCTCCAGAGCTATAGCAAATGGATGAAGAAGAGTAAAATGCGCATCCAAGACGCCGGCGAGGAGGAGGATCTCGGGCCGCTCAAACGGGCGCGCAGCGCCGCCGGGGAGGCTTCGCACACCGACCTCGCCGGCGACGAAAACGAGGAAAACGACGTGGATATGAGCGATCCTAACCAGGGCAAGAAACTTCGCATCGGGCGTAAACAGAAACGACTCCCAAAGGACGGCCATGTACGCACCTTTGAGGAAATGGCAACGATAAAGCGTAAATTAGCGAAAGAAAAGTCTAGGATTTCTAGAAAGACGAAGGTGAAGAAAGGGAAGTGAGTTTAAATTCTCTTTGTTTTAATGAATTTATCTAACCAGGTTGTTGGGATGGGCGTGTTTGAAAGGATAGGGCCGGGTGACATGGAGGAATCAGGGAATGAAAAAAAGGATCACCAAATATCTAATTTATTGCGCATAATCTGAAAGATACTCTACCTAACACCTGTATAACCCGAGTAAAATAAGTATCAATATATATATATATATATATATAATATTTTCAAGGACTTGATGCCTTCTATACTGATATTAGAAAAGTCTTTTATGCTACCCAAGAACATTGTGCTACATTTAATTTTCCTAATTATTTGGACCTCTTTAGTCTCTTTACTTTTATCGTAGTAATTAAAACACAGGGCTCTGTATTTTTTTGCTATTAGCATTAATTTCATAGAATTCTTCCTGATTAGACAAATAGAAAATAAAATGTTTTCTATTTGCTATGTTACGACGCCTACAATGAAGGTAGCTTCGAGTCTTTCGAAAATTCTCGTTCAGACGCATCAGGTAGCTGCCTGTGTGAACATTATCCCTTCGGTTGTCTCGGTCTATCAGTGGGAAGGAGAGCTGAAAGAAGATACGGAATGTCTCATGATGATTAAGACACAAACCAGCTGTATAAAAGATGTTGTGAATTTGGTGAAAACCAATCACCCATATGATTGTCCAGAAATTATCAGCATACCGATGGGAGAGGGTTATGCACCGTATTTAGACTGGATAAGTCGGCAAACCTGTCCGAGTAGCGGTTAATCCACTTGCTTTCAGTTGAACAGCGTACACCTTATTAAGCTTTGCCACAGTTAAAGGAATTTTATCAGATCGTTAGTTATTTGGACGAAATTTTCGGAAAGAAGTGGCTCAGAACACATGCATTAAGTGTTTACCATTAGTTTTCAACGCAATAACGGAAATAAAGAGGAACATTTAAATCTTTTTAGTAGTGTGGGATTCCCATTTCTATCCTTTTTTACACAACTCCCCCCCTTTTTTTTCACACAATCTTTCTATTTTATAGCAGCAAGTCCTAGTTTTCGTTAACGCTAACGCAACACACGGACAATCTAGTATATGTAAATATTAGACATCACACCTCAATCACCTTTAAGCGATGCCTCCCACTACATCTCCCATGACCACTGCAGGCATGATGCGAGCGGCGGGCTTACCGGACGGATATGCTTATTCCCACACCTTGCAGGAGCCCAACACTCGGCATACTCACAACCCCTCTTCCAAACGACATGAACTCGGCAATCGCATCGTGTTCGCCCCCCCGTCCTACCCCCCGCAGGCCTTTTCCCGGGTTTCGAAATCCCACACCGTCTCGGGCCTACCACGCGCCAAACCCCGGCGAAAAGCACCGCCGCGCGATGCCCGTTTGCGGGTCCCGGTCGCCCACACCTATCCCCACCACCTGCCCGCCATGTCCCTGGAGGAGGTGATGAAGTGCAATGAGGAGGCCATCGAGGCGCTCCGCCAGAACGAGCTTGAGCGCAGCCACGAGCTCATCTGCCGGGCCTTTCGCGCCTCCGAGGCGGCCGTTCGTTGGGTGCTCAGCGACTCCTCCCCGCGCGAACGCCATCGCCCCCCCCGAAGGCCGCGAACGCCGCGCGGGCCCCCCCGGAGCGGCGACTTCACCAGGAGGGTTGGCTGCTCCTCCACGCCGTCTCGCTCAACAACATGGGCTGCCAATGCCGGCGGGAGGGCAAAATCCACGAGGCCCTGGACTGCCTGGAGAAGGCCCGGGACGTCGAGACGCGGGTCTGCGGCCGGCCCTCCTGCTCGACGATGATGAACCTCTCCACGCTGTTGTTGAGTATGGGCAAGGTCGAGGAGGCCTTCCCGATCGCGAAGGAGTGCGTGGTGGCGGCGCAGGACGGGGATCGGGTGCTGTTTATTACCTCCTTGCACAACCTCGCGATCACCTTGGGGATGCATCGCGCGGCGAAGGAGCGGTCGGCCGCCCTCCCGACGATGCTGCGCGCGCTGCGGGAGGCGCAGAATCACTTCGGCCCTGCCCACGCCACCACCGCCCTGCTAAAGGGCCTCTGCGATGAATCGCATGGGTGGATTCGCACGGACAGCCCGAAGGAGCCCTCGCCTCGACTGCCCGCCGTTCTTCCGACGCATTCCTCGTCGGGGGGGCAGCGCGCCGCCGCGAAGACGACCTCCCTCGCGAGGTCACCTCCCAGGTCCGCCAAAACCGTCGTCGACGTCGGGAGTCCGCCGCCGTCCCGGAGACGATTGCCGGGCCATCTGATGCCGCTTTCCCACACCGTGTCCACCCCTGGCGAGTCCCCAGGGAGGGGGGAGGCCGCCGTAAAAAATATCACACCTTGGGAGCTCCAAACACGTGCGCAGCAGGCCCTCGCGACGCTTCATTTTGGCACCCCAAACTCCTCCAAGGGCTCGAATGACTTGAGCATGACCATCTCGGAGCATCCGATCGACCCCGGTCATCAGATGTCTATCATGGGATCCTCGGTCTCCAGCCCACCCAACACCCAAAAGACCTCGACCGATTCCACCTTCCACAGCCATGACGACGCCTCTTCGAACACCGCGGCCTCAGGAATGGAGAACGTCGCGAGTTCAGGGCCGCAGGAATCCGCCATCGGGTCGGTGGTGATGGTGGAGGAACCCTTTTTGACTCCTGCTGAAGATCCCGCCGCCGGAGCGAACGCCGAGGATCCTCCTTTCAGCGATTCCACACATAAAGCGGCCGTGAGCTCGGATTCCGTAAATGCCTCGGCGAGGACCTTCGACAATCTCACTGATCAGAACGCGAGCGGCGCGCCAACATCCGAAAACCAAGAATCACAGAGTAAGGATGAAGAAACTTCGAACACCGCGGCCTCAGGAACGGAGGACGCCGCGAGTTCAGGGCCGCAGGAATCCGCCATCGGGCCGGTGGTGATGGTGGAAGAACCCCTTTTGACTACTACTGAAGATCCCGCCGCCGTAGCGAACGCCGAGGATCCTCCTTTCACAAATTTCACCCACAAGGCGACAAAGAGTCCCAAGACGGATTCAGCGAATGCTTCTCTGAGGACTCTTGAGAATTTCACTGATCAGAACGCGAGCGGCGCGCTAACATCCGAGAACCAAGAATCTCAGACTAAGGACACCGAAAATGCCCCTGAAGAGGACTCGACGCTACGGGATGGTTCTCTTTCCGCGGAAAAAGATTCTAAGTTGACTCTTGCTGAACCTTGCATTAATAATATTCCTGGTTATTGTATTAATCTTTCCCCAGAATCTCAGCCCAAATTTATGCGCTTCATATCAGACGACCCGACGTCTTCCGTGGAGGCAGCGGATGTGCACTCTTCTCAGAAGGAGGCTTTGTTAGGAAGCTCCAAAAACCTGACGGGATCCGATTTAAAAAAACCCGAAATCGCGAATAGGATGGTCTCTTCCGGGTTGAATAGTCGTAGTGGGACTTGGGATGGCTCTAGAATGACGCTTTCGCATGTGCCGGGGAGGCCATTTAATACCGAAGTGTCTTCAAAAAGCAATGCATCCAGTTCTATAAGTGTATTCGCCAAAGATGCCGATCCCACAACACAACCCAACCAGGGCCCCCTCTCAGAGTCCAAAAAGGGGAAAAGATTACCCCCTTTAAAGGTGTTCCCACTGAGTGGGAATACAGACCATGGTAAGGCAAGGCAAAATGCTATCAACGAGGAACTGAAGGAGGAGGAGATTTACCGGCAGAAACGGGATCGCGAGCAAATGGAGGCATTAAAAGAAGCGGAGCGGCAGGCGATTATGCAGCGTATTAGCGAGCGCGTGAGGGATCGCGCGGCGCGGCGTATTCAACAGCAATGGAAACACTGGTGGAAGAACATTGGATGGGCGCGCAGGGAGGCCCGTCGGGTTCGCGCCCTGGAGCGATCGCGTTATTTGATGGAGAAGAACAACGCAAAGCGGTTGTCCACAACCGATGGACTCCCGTCAGTAAAAGCGTCTTCTTGCCAATACTATGGCATGATGTCGGTTGTGGTGAGCTGTGGGATGAAATGGTTAGAAAAAACAGTGTGCTTACGTTATCTCGCGCGCAATGGCCTTCCGTCCAATGGACTGAAGGAGAAGGATGTTTACAATTTGATAGCGAAAATACAAGCGGCATGGAGAGGTTTCTCGACACGATCCCGGATGCGCCGGCAGAATGAGGCGCACGCCCTCGCCTTGAAAAACCTCCACGCCCAACAATCCCAGAAAGAGAGGAGGGAGTACGCCGCAATTGTGCTCCAGAAGTTTTTTCGATCGATTTTAGCCAAGAAACGGCTTGCCGAGCGTCATTTTGAGCTGTACGACTCACCCGCCCGGAGGATTCAAGGGTGGGTTCGGCATCGCCTGTCCTCCCTGCGTCGCCGAGGTGTGGATCGCCGCACGGTGTGGACGCGTCTCGCCGCCGCCCTGTGTATTCAGCGCGCCTGGCGGCGTTACCAACTCCGTGTTCACTATTACATGTACCTCCTCCGCATTCGCATCAACGCCCTGCGGGAGGAGGAGGACAGGGCCCGCCTGCAGGCCCGCCCACGGCCCGTGACGCCGACCCCTG